TAATATAAACAATAAATTATCATAAATTTTGCTTATTTATCACTTTTTATAGAACCGACGTACCATCATTGAGCAGTTCCAACAGAAAGAATCGCGGCCGACAAGCAAATACACGTACAAGAAAGCTCACCGGTCGTGTGGAACGTCATGATAAGGCCGGTAGCCCGTAAACACTTCTATCATTATGATTCCAAATGAATATACATCTGATTCCGGAGTGTACTCTTTTCCTTGTAATACTTCAGGGGCAACATACGGGAGCACACCATAAACCTCATTATCTTTAGTCGGGCTCGAACTCGTTGGTTTGCATAAATCAAAATCTGTAATATACGAAGAACTTTCGTCGGCCATCATTATGTTACCTGAATGAAAATCTTTATGCACAAGACCTTTTTTGTGTATTAAATGAAGACCACTAGCTATATATCGTAAGATATCTAACTTTTTTTTCCAATCTAATCCATTATAACGTTCGTCTAGCATTGATCTGAGGCTTCCTTTTTCTGCAAACTGCATAACCATCATAAAGTCACCTTTCTTATCTTTCGTGATACTATAGATCTCAATTACATTATTGCTTTTTCTGAACTTGAGCTGATTCTTGATCTAACATTAATTAGGATAAGAACATTTGTATTTCGGTACGCACAGATGAAATGTATCTTAAATATTACCTCTTGAAAAAATTTCTTCGTAAAATGCTTGAGACTTTTTAGACAAGCTATTTCATATCCATCCCATGAAGTTTCTCCACTTCTCTTCCATCTGTTTTTATCGTGATCCCACTATTCAATATATCCTTCTTTCCAAATGGCCTTGAAAACAATACCAAAACCACCATCAGCAACTTTTTCTACTTCTTTAAATTTATCGTAAGAGATATATTCAATGAATTCCTTGCTTTCATTTGCATTGACTTGTATTTCACGAATAAATTCGTCAACATCTTTGTCACCGCTTGTCAAATCTTTTTGTTCATATTCAAATCTTTTAACATTATATGGTTTGCACCATTTATGACCGGTGTTCGGTTGTTGGCATTTCACACATGTTCCAAAATCTTTTGTTCCTTCATTATCAGAACTAGACTGTGAATTTTCATTACAAATCGATTGTTTGTCTTGTTGGTTATTCATATTTTCATTTGCTAAAATATATTATAAATAATCCTTGTGGGCACATCGTATTGCCCAGCAATAAAAAAGAACGCTAGAGAACATATTTAAAAACAGGCGTGTAAATGTTATACAGTATTCACAAGAAATATTACATAATACAGTTATAAATTTTCAACTATTATTGAAACTTGATAATTTTTGTATAAAAGTTACACTGTATACGTATTGGTAGAAGCACAATTAGCAATTTTATTAAAATTCGATAAAATTTCTGCATAGATAATCATAAACGCAACCTTTTAAATATAATATCTTTAATAATTGATCGTGTTACCCATACCTTATATGACAAAATCCAATC